GCCGCGGCTGGATTCGCCTCGAAGTTCTGGTCCAGACGCACCCTAGGAGGGTTTCTCGGCGGCGAGCGGAGGGGGGAACTGAGAGGGGGCGGGCCTTCTCAGAAGGCTCGGAAGTGCCCCAGCCTTCTGAGGAGTTTTCTAAGCCTTCCCCGAAGACACAGAAAATTTTTCAGAAGGCCAGAAGGCTTCTGAGAAACCCCGCCGCCCTCTGAGAGGGTCTTCTCCTTCTCACTTCCCCCCCTTCGCTCGCCGCCGAGTTTCGAGGAGTGGCGGCATCAGCTTTTTCTGTGATCTCGCCAGAGGAGGTGGACCACTTCGAGGACTTCTTCCTCCCAGCCCTGCAGGCTCTGGGGTACGACGGGCGCTTCGTGGCGAAGCCGCGCTCCCCGTGCGTGGACTTCGGATACTTCCCGGACGGGACGGCCATCTTCTGGAGGACGCTGGAGGGTGCCGACTGCACCTATCCTGGCCAGGAGGAGGAGGAGGAGGCGGAGGAGGAGGAGGAGGAGGAGGAGGAGGAGGAGGAGGAGGAGGAGGAGGAGGAGGAGTAGGAGGAGAGGGAGGAGGAGAGGGAGGAGGAGGAGGAGGAGGAGGAGGAGGAGGAGGAGGAGGAGGAGGAGCAGGAGGAGGAGGAGGAGGAGGTTCGGTGTGCATGACTTCTGGCCAGGCCAGGATGGCGTTTGCCCCGGGCCCAGGAGGAGCCCGGCCCGGATCGGTTCAGGTGTCCAGCTGGCGTTAAGTCGGGCACGTCCTTCTACCCCCAAAAATGCTCGGGCGACGATTTTTTGGATACTGATTGACAATCTTTGACTATTGTTTGGAGTCTTTCTTGTTTTTTTTTTTATCCAAAACCCGCCTGTAGGAGGACATGCCCGACCTGAAGCTGGCGCCCTCGGAGGACGACCTCGTTCACGCCCGTGGGCCCCGTCGGTCGGGACTGCTACACGGACGCGGACGGCGCCCGGGCCAACCAGGTGTACGCGTTCGTGGACCTCCGGCACAGCACGGGCGAGGTTGTGCGCTTCGCGGCCACCCACCTCAAGGCGAAGGCGGGCCAGGAGCCGAGGGCGAAAGTAAGCATAGAAGAAGGACGTAAAAGGTGCCCGCGGGGCCAGCTGCCCAGGGGCCCGGGCCGCGGGGCCGCGCATAGGGACATGTGATTCCAGGGGAGCGAAGAATGACATAAGCACAAAAAAACCCAGAGGTCCGCGCGGATTTCTCGGACGCGGGGCCGCGAATAGGGACATGTTCTTCTGGGGAAGCAAGAATGACATAAGCATAAAAAACCCAGAGGTCCGCGCCGCTTTCTCGGATCCTCGCCGGAAGCCCCCCTGGCGGCGCCCCCGGCGTCGCCCCTGGCGCGCTCCGCGCGCCAGGGAGGGGGGTCCAGCGCGGGTCCGAGAAATCTGCGCGGACCTCAGAGTTTTTGATGTTTCTGCCATTCTTCGTTCCCCTAGAATCACATGTCCCTATGCGCGGCCCCGCGGCCCGGGCCCCTGGGCAGCTGCCCCGCGGGCACGGGGCGTTTTCTCGCGGATGCTGAGCGTGGAACGTACCAATGCGACTCGCTATCTCGGTAACTATCTGGATTCCGCGGGACCGCGCCCCGGAGTCCAGACAGTCATGATCTTCCTGCCCGATCCGGCTTCCCGGTCCAGTCCAGCCCCAGCTCTGATGTCGTGGAACGACTGCACCATCGCAAACGACTCACGACCCCGAGCCCTGGACCACACCTCCCTGCTGCATGCCTCGAACGGGATCGATCTGCGAGGATCCCCGCGGCCCGAACCCTGACGTGACGAACCAACAACAACACACCCATACCCATAGGGGGGTCGCAAAGGGCTATGGGTGCGTGTTGTCGGATGGGGGTCCCCGCTCGAACGGGAGCGTTCCCTAGGGTCCGAGAACCCGCACCCATACCCATAGCCAGTCCTCCTCCCAACGACCCCATTATGGGTATGGGTGTGTGTGTGTGTGTGTGTGTGTGTGTTGTTCGTTCGTCATGACGAGCACGCCCGGCTCCCAGCCCCCCGACGCCATGACTTTTCCCTGACGTCGACCCCCCCAGAGGTCTCGACCCCCTTCCCCGGGACCAGCTTCTCGCCCCGAGCCCTTTTTCGATGGCCCCGAGGCCGGGTAAGGGCCCCCAGAGTTCTGATGTTCCCGCCTACTTTGGCGTCGACTCCCAGGAATAATTTCGAGCGCAGTAAAAACGTACCCAAACTCGAGGGTTTTCACGTGTCGGGCCCTGGGAGACCCTCGCCCGACACTGTTTCGACACTCTCTTCCGGCGCTCTTCGGGGTGCTCGACATGACTCCTGGGATGGGGTTTTGAAGTAGGATGGGAGCAGCATAGTTAACCCCAGAGACCGAAAGTGGTGAAAAAACACCTCCCGTCGTGTTTTTTTCACGGCGCGAGGGCGCCCGTGCTCGCGGAGGAGAACGAGAGCCTCCGCGCTCAGCACGTGGAGCAGCTGCTGCGCCTGCTGTCGCGGGGCGGCGCCCCGCACGTGGTGCTGTGCGGCGACTTCAACTCCGACCCCTTCGACGTCGAGGGCCACCGCGCTCTCGCGGTGCCCGCGGTGCTCGGGCACCGCCTGGGGCTGGCCAGCTCGCTGACCCTCAAGGCGTGTGCTAGCTCGATTAAAGTCGGGCCTGTCCCCCTACAGGGGGATTTTCGACGAAAAAAAGAAATACCCGAATAGTTATTATTAGAAAATTATCCCAAAGTAGTCTGGGGACTATTTTAAAAGTATTTTTTGACTTTTTTCGGGCATCTTTTGGGTATTTCTTATTTTTCGTCGAAAATCCCCCTGTAGGGGGACACGCCCGACATAATGCTAGCTCGATGTGCGTTTACGCCGCTCAGCCCCACCAGTCCATCGTTGCGTCGCCGGCGTCGTCTTGCGTGGTCTCGATGCTCAGACCCACGCCGGCGCCAGCACACGTTCTGAGGATCCTCGACCGGCGCCTACCCGCTCCCGGAGTCCGCGGAGGGGGCCGCCTACACCACCTGGAAGCGCCGGGGGCCGCAGGAGAGCCGGCACGTGATCGACTACATCTTGGAGCCGGCGGGGGGGGGTTGAGAGGTGGCCCAGGACGGGTTCCCTCCGGCAGGAGGGGGGGCTAAAACGACGCGAAGATCGGGACAAAATCGGATCGGGATAACTCGAAATCTCTGAGAATCGGCGGGTTTGGAGGATGTATTGGGCGCCGCGGCCGCTCCAGAGCGTTCCAGAACGCTCTGAGAGCGCTCCGGAACGCTCTGGAGCGATTTATCCCGATCCTAGCCCTGTTTTAGGCGGGGTTCGAGGCTCTCGGTCCGAGTCGGCTTTTGGCCTCTGCTGGTCTCTTCGGGGGCCGTTTTTCGGGCCCAGGATGGCCCACTGCGACCGGTTCTGTGCAGATTTGCTTTCGGTCGGCGGCGAGCGAGGGGGGGAAGCGAGAAGCAGAAGGCCCTCTCAGAAGGCTCGGAGGCCCCCTGGCCTTCTGAGAAGCTTCCTGAGCCATCCCCGAAGACACAGAACACTTCTCCGAATGCGCGAGGGCTTCTGAGAAATCCCGCCGCCTTCCGAGAGGGCCTCCTCCTTCTCACTCCCCCCCTTCCCGCTCGACGTCGATCCATCCCTCCCTCCCTCCTGGCCGACGTCTCTGGGCCCAACCAGCTCAGGCCCCCCCTGGCCGCCTCCAGACCACTTCTTCCACTCCCCAGGGCTGCTGCCCGGGGCGCTCTTCGGGGTGCCGGACGCGGGCGAGGTGTTCACGAACCAACAACACACACCCATACCCATAGGGGGGTCGCAAAGGGCTATGGGTGCGTGTTGTCGGATGGGGGTCCCCGCTCGAACGGGAGCGTTCCCTAGGGTCCGAGAACCCGCACCCATACCCATAGCCAGTCCTCCTCCCAACGACCCCATTATGGGTATGGGTGTGTGTTGTTCGTCCGTCAGGTGTCGCCCGACCGGCTGCCTGGCTGCCAGTACCCCTCGGACCACGTGGCGATCGCGGCCGAGCTGGCGTTCCGGAGGTAGCTCGCGATGGCTCCGCTTGGCGGGGCGCGCGCGAGCGGCTCGGGCAGGCGCAGAGAGGAGCAGCAGTGATAGTAGCAGATCCAGCCGCCAACGTCTATTACCAGCCTCGAACGTATCCCTATCCCTAAGATTGACACGCCAAAAGGCGATGACAATCTTAGGGATTCGCCGTCAAAAAATAAGGGATTTCCTAAGATTGGCATCGTGATGAGGAGGTGCCCAGCATAGGGATAGGGATATGTTCCAGGCTGGTAAGTCTACACGATTACACCAGTCGTGCTGAACGTAGTAGTTGTCGCAGCAGCAGCAGTCAGATACTCGCAGTCGCCATCGAATCAGGCAGGCCTATGCGCTGCGGTGAGCGCGGCTGCTGTGGTGCGCGCAGGCGCTGCGGTGCACGCAAAAACTGTGGTGCATGCGTGTAGAACGCATCGGAAACAGGCAGTGCGGTACAGACTTGAGACAAGTTTCGTGCTATGCTTCAGTTTTGGAGGCGGTAGAAGCAGCGTGCTGAAACACCCTTTATTGCGCAACGTAGATGCAACACATCGGCAGCAAACACCATAACAAAGTAATGCTCGAAGGCGAGTGCGGAGGATACAAACACTGTGGTGCTGCACGATGGTGCACGTATGTGCTGCGCAGTACATCGGCGATGTGGTGCACGTGGCTGCGGCGGTGCATGCTGTGCTGCGCACGGTGCTGTTTGCTGTGATGCGCACAGGCGCTGTGGTGCTGGAGCTACACGGCGGGGGGGGGGCGTTACGTCATACCCCGGACCCGCCCCCCCCCATGCAATAACGCGCGTCATGGCCGCGAATATCTCAATGCGCCTCCATGCCTCGCCCTCTCCGCCTGGAACCTGAAGAATGGCGGGGTGCGCGCGTTCGCGGCGCCCGATCGGGGCGGGGCGTCTCTAGCAGCGACTTCGCAGCAGACGTCGCCCAACGGCTCCGCGAGAATGGTCGGGAGTGGCTGATCGAGAGCGCGGCGATCGAGGGCCGCTGCCCCAAGATCTGCAGCGCTGGCGGCTCCAGCGTCTCAAGGCGAACGCCAGCGCCAAGACCATCGCCCTCTCCATGTGCGAGTGGGGCGCGGGGCCGCCCGACCTGCCGGGCAAGCGGCACCGCAAGCTGACCGCGTGGGCGGTTAGCCGACCCGCTGGCGCACGGGCAACCGCGAGCACCTGGCTCTCGAGGGCCCCTTGCCGTGCAGCCTCACCGAGGAACAGGTCGCCCATTTCGACAGCAGCTGCGCGGACGCCCTGACGCCGGCTGAGCAACGTCGTTTGGTCAGCCCGGCGAACAGGGTCGCCCTCGCGGGCGCCTCCGCCCAGGGCATTGGCCCAGACATGGCGTGGAGGGAACCGCAGCTCGACGCCGCGTTGCTCAGGCCGCTGAACGAGCAGATCGGCAAGCTGGCGCCCGACAACTTCCCTGGGGCCTCGTCGAGTTCAAAACTGCCCGGGGATGCTCTCCTGCCCTCCCCGAGGGTGAGCAGGCCCTGTACTTTGGTCGTGGCGTGACACGGGCAGGTTGTCGTCGCGCCCACCGGCAGGGCCCCCGATGGGCTCCAGTCCAGTGGCCGAGCGGTCAGCGGCGCCCCGGCCCTCCCGCTGGCCACCAAAAGGGGGGGGGGGCTGCTGGAGACGCTGGGGCTTCAGGTCTGGCGGCGCGGACTGCGGCGCGCGCGCCATGCGAGCCAGTGCGCCCCGCGAGTGTGCGCTGCCCGGGCGGGGGTGCCGAAGGCCGCCGGGCGCGGAGCTCCGCGCAGACTCGAGGCATCCGAGGGGGGCGGGCGCGCCGCTGGATGTCCCCAAGGGGGGGGGTGGTTGGGACCCCCCCCCCCTTTCCCCGATCCGTCGTCGGCCCCCCCCCCCTCCCTCCCTTTCCCGATCCGTCGCCGGGGACCCCCCCCCTCAACCCCGTCCGTCGTCGGGGACCCTCCTCCCCCTTCCCCCCTTTCAAAAGGGGGGGTGTCCGAACCCCACCCTTCTCCCCCCCTTTGGCCGCCAAATTCGACCCCCCCCCCTCCTTTCGCCACGGCGCCCCCGGTCTCCGGAACCCGCGCCCTAGCACCCCTGACACTAATAATCTTCACCCGTGCCCTAACCCCTAATCTTAACTAACCCCAAACCCAAACCCTAGCCCCAAACAGTATTCAATACTCACTACGCACTACTCACTACCCACAACTCACTACTCGCTACTCACTACTCACTTCTCACTACTCACTACTCACGACTCACTACTCACTGCCCGCGATTCACTACGCACTACCCACTACTCCCGACTCCCTACTCACTACAAGTTACTCACTACTCATTACTCAATATTCACTACTCACTACTCACTAAACACAACTCACTACCCGCTACTCACCAATACTCATGCGCCAGTATCTGTAACTCACGACTCACTGCTCACATTTCACTACTCACTACCCACTGCCCACAACTCACTACTCACTATCCACTACTCGCTACTCGCTACTCGCTACTGCTACTCCCTACACTGTACTCGCTACGCATTACTCGCTACTCGCTACTCCCTGCACCCTACTCGCTACTTAATACGCACTATTCACTACACGCTACTCACTACCCCCTACTCTCCCGCTACCCAGTACTCACTACGTCCTACCCCCTACTCAGTACTCCCAACTCACTACTCACTACCCAGTACCCAAGTACCACTACTTACTCAATACTACTCGGTACACACTACTCACTACTCACTAAGCAGCGCTACTCACTACCCACTAACCACTATCCACTACTCACTACCGAGTACTCACACTTCACTACCCATGGTCACTAGCCAGTAGTCGCAAGTCGCTACTCACTATTCACTACTCACGACTCACTACTTGTCACTCAGTAAGTTTTACTCGCTACTCCCTTCTCACTACCAACTACTCAATACCCACATCTCGCTTCTCACAATTCACTACTCACTACGCACTACTCCCTGCTCACTACTCACTATTTATTCACTACTCACTACTCGGTACTCCCTACTCGCTACGCACTTCTCCCTACTCACGACTCACTACTAACTCCTGACTACGCCCTCCTCACTACTCACTCCTCACAACGCCCTACTCGCTACTCGCTACTCACGACTCGCTACTCCTTACTCGCTACTCCCTACTCGCTACTCACTACCCACTACGCACTACTCTCTACTCACTGCGCACTACTCACTACTCACGACTCACTCCTCGCTATTCGCCATTATCTACTTCCTCATCCCGACTCCCTGCTTAGTACTCACTATGCACTACTCACTACACACGGCTCACTCCTCACTACTCACATTTTTCATATCCACTACTTCATTCCCACTACCCACTACCCAAAACTCACTAATCACTACTCACAAATCTCTACGCACACTCACTACTACCAGTACCCGTTACCCACTAGTCACTACTCACTACTCACGACGCACTTCGCACTACTCGCTTTCAGATACCCACTACTCACCAATCGCGACTCAAAACGCTCTACTCTCTTCGCACTACCAACTACCCAGTACCCACTACTCACTATTCACTTCTCTCTAGTCCCTACAGTCCTCTCCCTACTCACTACTCACTACTCGCTATCCACTACCCACTAGCCAATACTCTCTACTAACTGCCCACTACTGATTGCCCAGTCCCCGCTACTCGTAATTCATTATTCCCCACTCCCTACTCCGCACTCACTTCTCGCTACTCACTATGCATTACTCACCACTCCCTACTCGCTACTGAATACTTGCTATTCCCTATCCCCATACTCGATAGTCACTACTCACTACCGACTTTTCACTGCTCATTACCGACTACCCACGACCCACAAGCCATTACCCACTAATCACTTCCCACTACCCACCACCCACTACCCAATGCTCACTACTCACCACCCACTGCGCAGGCCAGGCCCCCCCTTTGAGGGCGAGGCCCCCTCCCCAGGTCCCTGTTCGGCGCAAAGGGGGGAGGGGGGCGTTCGAACCCCCTCCCCTTTTTCCAGCG